TGGGACACACTCCTGCTGAGTATCAGATAACTAAGTGCATTTCAAAGGTCTGTGGCTCTCTTTTCCCTCTCTTCCCAGGCCTTTCCATCATGGATGTGAGGGACAAGACCTTACAGTTGAAACACAGTTGCCCAGAGCAATGGGCAAAACATTCCTGTCACAAATTCGTGCACTTCATGTTCCCCTTTGGCTATGACAGTTTTTGGGACTTGCACCCTCAGTTCCACAAAGCAGCTGTCCACTTGCATCACGAAAGGTGCGTGTCATGCCACCATGAAATAGCTGGCTGATGCTGGAATGTGGCACTCAAGCATGCTGCCAAGGCAAACTCTTTCTGTTTTCCCTGGATTAGACGCAATCACACCACGTTGAACAAGCCATGTTCTCAACAGATCCCAGTTACAGTCATTGTTCAAGTAGAAGGAAGAGACTAAAGCCAAGTAGCTGGAAAAAACAGCTCCTGTTACATAATGTATGCAGCAACTTGACTGTTCTTTGATATATATGGATGCCCATTGCTTCCACTTCATTGTACCATCAAGGGAAGAAAAAGTACAATAATCTCTTTATGTCTCTTGCAATTGAACTCAACCATGATTAAAATATATTGTGGGAACCTTATGTAGCTATTAATTACTGACTGCTTGTCTCTTAATGAATTGGACTCTCGTCTATGATAGATCAACTTCTTGCTATGTTTCCTAATGAAAGATGTAGTGGAATTGGAGTATCACTTAAAATGAAAAAAATAACAAAATCAATCTAAAAAAATACTTCCCAAATACACTGTATATTTTAGGATACAGTCTCATGAGGTTTAGTAAAATAAGGAGGTCTGGTCCAAGCCTTATGTGGATCAGAAACCTTGGTGATGATTCCTAAGGGTTTTCTTAAGAATGTCATCTAAGCTACATTCATTAACCATGACAAAATGTCTCAATATAATGTTAAAAATATCAGAGGTGCCTATTTTTCCATAGTACTGAAACTGAATAGTAATAATAGTAATTAAACAGCAAATAGGAAAAAGGAAAACAGTAATAATAACCACAAGTAATTTATAAGCAATAAAAAAGAAAGGAAATAGTAATAATAACCACATCAGTTTACAGAAATGATATTGAACTTTAAAAAGATAGAAAGCCAAGCTTTCTGCTGATTAGGAAAGTACATGTATTTTAGCAGCACTTCCTCATAGAATTACTTTTTTCCCATTTTTTTTCTCATTAAGGAGGAGAAAGGGAGCATATTGTTCATCGCTTGGTTTTCTAAATTATTTAATAGTGCTGTTTTGATTGTTGCAGAGCTGCTATACATTATCCTGAAAGTGACTTCATCTCAAAAGTGGGTGACTTAGCATGTAGAAAATACTTCGGGATTTTATTTATTTTGAAAGGGCCTATTTAACATGTGATGTTGCTTTCTATCAAGAAGCAACCATTTCTCGGGTGGAATGCAGTAGCTATTTCATTAATACTGACAAGTTAACTCTCATGGATATTGTATTTCAGAATAATGTCTTTTGGAGGGAACCTCATAATTTATTATATCATCTAGTTAGGAGTAAATGGTGCTTTTACGTCATTTCAGCATGACAGTAAAAGAGTAAGGATGCTACTCCAATTAAAACCTACGACAAAATACTGGGTTAAATTGAATGAAGGTAGATTTGGGCTTGAGCTTACAAAAATTATTTAGTATTCCTGTCCTCCCTTGAAGATTACTGATGAAGCAATGGCTTAACATAGGACAGAACCTTGCTTCTGCAGCTGAGCATGCTGTCAGTTTGCATTCAGCTGGAGCTGCCTGGTGGTGGGCAAGCCACGATCTACCACAATGATTTCCTCTTATGGAAAGCCCCTAGTCTCTACGCTGCTCAAAAAGATGAGTCAAAATATCTTCTCGAACATTATTACCATTTTCTTTGGGAGTCTGGACTACTTTTACCAAAAATAGTCTCCAAAAGAATGATTTTTTGATATGAGAATGTAGTGTTTAAGTGGCACTAGCAAACAAATGAAAAATAAAATATGCTCATTCTTTATCAAATGGAAAATGAGAGCTAACATCAGTTTAGGTCCTGTAGTCTGAGGGTATGGAGCACCATGATTTTTGTGATGATTTCTGCTATGTGAAAGCAGAATTTTGCTCAATCTCTTTATTTTAAAAACAAGGTTAGAGAGTGAAAACTTCAATATACCATGTCTGCAAGCCTTGATGCCTCATATATGCATATATCATGTGCCGTACATCTAAGCACACAAAAGTAACCATAAAGGAAACATCAACCCACAATGACTACATATGAAAGTAAACTTTAATACTTTTCCTATTTTCTGCAACAAGAAACTTTTGGGAATAACCACAGTATTTAAAATAACAAATATACTTGTTTAAATGCATTTGCATGTTGCTGTTCTTTGTACTCCCGGTTACAACAGATGCAAAGATCTGGTTGCAAACATCAACCAGGACATGCTGACAAGAGGACACCAGGTCAAACCAATTATGTGGGTTATGCCTCCATCCCACGACTAATTAAATAATTCACTATACATTTAATGCTAACATAACTGCTAGGTATCTGGGCTGTGATCTGCTCATCACAGCTAAGAAACTTGGGCTCATGGATAGAGCCTATCTCCTCAAAATTATCATCTATCATAAGATTTAATCTTATGTTTGATACAGGAAACAGATGGTATATAAGGAAAATATATATATATATATATATATATCAAACCCTAGTGATTTCGTATATAATGCAAACCCATTTAAACAAGTATATTATAAGGAAGAGGAGGACAGAAATATCCATTCCTGATACTCTTCATCATTATAAGCATTTACAACACAAAGATGGACAAGTAAAGAGGAGTCGCAGGCTCTAAACCAAACAACTTTTTTTCAGTCTTCATATGAATATGAAGTTAGTTTGAACTTGGTTTACTGGATTATCACAATAAATTTTCACAGAAGCAATAGGTTAACAAACATTTAATTCAAAGCCCAGTCCTGAGAAATAGTGAGTGCCATGGCCCTTCCATTGGTTCAAAAGGACCTGAGACCATTCACTCACCTCAGGCATACCATGGCACACCAACAGCTGGGAAACATACTTGCCAACCTTAAACATTCATTGAGTTGCAAAGGGACAGAGCGGCCTGCAAACTGCATATGAAAATACCACAGAAATATTGGAGCAACAGCAAAGTAAATAAGCAAAAATGTATGTTGTCAACTGGTGATTACAAACAAGGCTGTGGAAACTCAAGGTTGATTTCTAGCAAAGAGGCAATAAAGAAGCCTGGTTCCAGGAGTAGGTGATATATTTTTCAATGTCTTTGAAGCACAGAGTTTCTTTGCATAGAGTGTTTCTAAACAATATATTCTAATAAGAAGGTATTTATTCAATATGATACATATTTTTTATATATATGTTTTTAAGATGAAAGGACTTCACATAGAAATTACAAACTCTGCTCAGAAAACTTCAGTTTATGGCAGTAAATTACTCTTTCTAAGCAATACAAGAATTTTATAAGCAATGTAATAGTATTCAAATTTATATCTAACACTGTCTGTATATCACATGCTGAAGAAGGGAAAGACAAGACATTATACAGTGAAAAACTCCTTGAAAGTAGTGTTGTTTTTCTGGGTCATACTATAACAATAGTTGGACAAAAGAATCCATCTGGAGCTGGAAACCACAGCACTGGTTTGAGCTTGACATTGTATTCAAAGCCCAAAAGATCACCAGAGCTCAAGACTCCAGAATTTGGTCATCAGAGCAGTAAATGCTTTAATCTGTTTTTCTAAATTTCAACAGCACAAAAATAAAATATATATAAAAAAAAGCCCTTGGACAATATTTTTCATAAAATAAAACTTTACAAAATGTTTACCCATTTAATAGAAATAAGATGTATGTATTTTAGGTTATGACTTTGAAATGCATTTCAAAGTGCTATAGCACATATACAATAAAAAAGTTGCCATGAATCCCAGCGTGGTTTTCAAAATGTCACGGTATTCTTCTTTTATATATATATATATCCAAAACTGATTTTAATAAAATGATCATTTAAACTTCATCTTTGCTTTTAAGCCAGCTAAAAATACAGAATTCTCTTCCAATAGTTTAATGAAGTCAGACTGCATATTTAAGCATATTGAAAAGAGTTTTTACATGATTTTTTTGGGAGAATAAATCACTAGGGTTCGACAAAACCTTGATATATTAATGCACTGATTTCATTAAAAAAATTGTGATATTATAATTAGCAAAAAATGGTATTTCTCTAAAATTCTGTTTATAATAATTTGATTGGTCAGCATTATATTTCTTTCCTAGTCTCAAAAACATGGATGATGAGAACTAAGCGTTTGTTCCCCCAAACTAGCGATGTTTCCTTGCATTTTTAGCTGATCAGCTTCCTAACTTTAAAGCTTCATATAATCAGCCTTACTTTTTTTCCAGACATTTTCTTTTTTAAATCCCAGCTACATTTGAGAACTTCTAAGAATTACTTGACAATATTTCATCTCAGCCTGATGTGTAAATGACTATATTTCAATGATTGACTTCCTCTGAATAAGCCTGGCTATTTGGCATTACGGGAAAAGCAAGTAATTTTTACTCATTGCTGGAGTATTTTTCATTTAAATCCTAATCACACTATCAAATTTTGCAACTTAGCATAATATATAAAGACGTCATACATTAGTACTATAGATAGTCCTACCTTTTTCCTTTGACCAGTATTTTCCCCCTTTCTATAAGAAGATTCCCATGAAACCTCATTTTACAAAGCACAGAGTACAAAAGACAAGTGAGAGTGCCTCTGAGCCCTACATTTTAAAATGACAGAAAATAACTTAAAGAAGTAGGAGTACACAGCATAATTTACGTGAGTCCCTAGTCATTGTTTACCATAAACTCCCAATGGAGCCAGACAGCTCTCATCATTTGGACCACACTCAGTAATGATAACTGCAAAAGAATAATATATATCACAAATGTCTAATATTCGTATTTTTTTTCAAGTTACTATCACATGTATATAGCATTGGATTCTTTGGTTCAGGATGCTACAGGATAATGGCACTTCTACAGCATGGGTTTCAAGTATTTAGCACAGCTGATTTTTCTAGAAAAGCGAATAGCCACTGACAAGAGAACAAAAGAAGATTTGAGATCTATAGTTAAAGTTTAAGCCTAATAGCTACAGTAATTGATTAGTTCTCCATGGATTTTCTTTGGTCAGTGAGGTGTGCCCAGAGACTACAGGAGATTATTTTATTGTGTAATTTTCACAGTGCGGTAGGGTATCCTCACAATGGGTTGGATACTGCCCTCCTGACACAAGCCACAGGGTGTCCCTGATTAGAGCGAAGAAAATTAAGCCAGCAGAATCACTCTGCAATAGGCAGGGGTAGGATTTTTGCCTTCCTGGGAAAGCAGCAAGATTTCTGGCCTCAAAACTTGCAGATCTCCAGGGTCTCTTGTGGACCAGACTAATTTCTATGACTAGGGTGTCATTGGTCACTTCAGTTCTACAGCTGTCACTAGCCTTACCCAGTTATTCAGCCTCTTGACTCCTCTTAGCTAATATGTTGAAAATGGCTCTGAGAAACAGGGCTATATCATGTTTACTGAGCCAGAGTAGGACAGCAGGGTTAAGCAGCAGATGCACAATTGGCAGAAACTGGAGAAACTGGTTTTGTTTTGGAATTCAATTAGGTTGAAAGTAGATATGGAGGTGATGAAAATGGCTAGCTAGGTATCCTGAAAAAAACGTCTTTTTAAACACAGAACATGTCTAGTGTAGACTACAGCAACCGTCATAATTCCTGCCAAAACCGTGCAAAAGAGAGATGCTGAAGGGATGTCTTCTATGACTAGAACAGTAGCTTGGCAAATCCCTGTCAAGGAAACCAACAAGAATATGGGCCATGGAAATGCCTCATGCAACTGCACCAACCAAGAACTAAGTTGAGACCCGCAATGCATTCTGTATCTGCACCCAAACTGCACTACACAATTTCCTGTGAACCAGCAAGAGCCAAGGGAGACCTTGGGCAGCTCATTATCTTTGTGCACCTCACCCAGGCCCCCATTCTTTTCGACTCCAAATACCTTGTATTGACACCACATTCAACTCTCAATAATTCATACGTGAGCTTGAGAGCTTCTTGTTTGCAAGTGAGACACTTCCAAACTCTAGACCAAGATTCTCTAATGTGTTTTGGTTGCCTCAGTTTTGAAGTTACTGCGAGTTGCATTTTCAACCCCTCACAGGGCCTGGCGTGTAAAACATGAATACTCAGCACTGTCTCATAACTGGACCCTCCAAGCACCCTCCCAGCTAGATTCAAAAAATAATTTAGACGCTCAAAAAGTGCTAGTCACTCCTGGAAATCTAATTCATAACTAGAATATATTGATTCACAAGAAAAACAGAAATCACCATAAAAAGATCCATGTGTTGCTGCGCTCAGGGTACTTAGAGTGTAAACTTTATTCATATTCATAGAATCATAGTTGATGGCAAAAGGGTATGCCCTTTATGTCTAGTAACCATAATTTACTCTGTGTCTCTTGAGTGCATGAGTCCCTATAAGGAAAAAAAAAAAAACACTTGATGGATGAGCAGCTTTCCTTCTGGTAGTTAGTTCAGCTCCCTGAAATTCTGAATGTTAGTACAGAAGGAAAGGAAATAGTTTTGTCAAAACTGTGATAAAACAAATGTTCATGTCATCTCAAAGGGAGCTACAGTTCAGAATATCTTTAAAAACTGATAAACCCTGAAACAAAAGTTGCTTTTAACTGTGTGTAAACAGTCTTTGATCAATCAACAGAATCCTTGGAAAGGGCTGATATATCACAAAACATAACACAACATGCCTACAACAGTTGAATGAGCGCTTAAACTTTGGTCACAGAGAGGACGCTAGTAGTTGGCAGGGAAACCCAACTAATTTGATCTGAATGGAACATTTTTGTAAAAATTAACACAGTCCTCTTCTCCTGGAGGCTGCAATCAATACAAAGTAAAACAGATTGATAGTGCTGCATTATAAATGCATTTGACATCAGATAAAATTCCTCCTGAGGGCTGTCTTCAGATTTCATGGCTTTTCTCCTTCCTCTGCTGCATCCTCAGACAAACCTATAAAAGAAAAAGAAGATGCTTAAAAATCCAGTGTACTTTGTGACTGCACACACTGAATGTTGATCCTATCAGACTTTGTAAAAGTCTTGGTTATAGCTAGAGGGAACAATTGATTACATGTAAAACCACTATAATAACAACACACAACTTGCAAATTCAAGCATGCACAAGTTTAGAAACTTAAGAATTACAGCAACAAAGGCAATTTTATATCAACTTATTTATGCATATGATAGATGGTAACAGTCTTTAAAAAATGATGGACTATTTTTACATTAGGAAAAGGAAAAAGTCAGTGAACAACTGGGCAAACGATTTGAGATGCAGTCACTTTAATCTACTTGCATTTTGCCTGCATTTTTTCTCCAGTTAGAACTGGCAGTACAAACTGTATATTGCCCTTAATATTTATTAATAAGGATTGCTTTTTGTATAAGGATTGCTTTGAGGGAAGGAAAATAACAAACACCCCGTATCAAAGACGACTTCAGAAGACTTCTCTTTTAGGTAGGAAAGTATTAATTTCTTATTTTCAAAGAGCAGTACAGCAAGAAACGATTCTATCTTGGACCTGAAATTAATCTTTGCAATAATGTACCTATCAAAACCAGAAAAGTGGGTAGGAACTTCTAAGAAGATTTCTTGGAGTGGCTATGCAAAAAAAAAAAAAAAAAAAAAAGAACAGTAGATAATCACATTAGTTTGCCTACGCACATACTTGTATGGCTTAATTAAAGTGATTATTTAACCTAGCAGTTTCTTACATGTCCACTATTATTACTGGTTGAAAATGATTTAATTTAATCCTTTTCTAATGAATGCAAAGCAATCCAAAATAAAGTGGCACTATCTCCCAATGATATATGAATAATAATAAAAACAACACAGAGTTTTTTTTTCCAATGAGCCATCAGTGAAGGAGGCTGAAATCTCTATGCACCCAAGAAAGTGAAACAATCCAGCAGGTCAGTGGCAAAATGAGATTTTAGTATTCAGGTCTTTTAAACTCAGGCCAGTGCATTGTCCATAGGCTTCACTGCCTGTGTTCACATAACCTTTAGCACCACTAGGATGCCTACATTTAGATTCAGGCAATTCCGCATATGTAATTTCTGTTTCTTGTATTGCTTTCCTTCTCCCTCATCCTTTCTTTTTTTCGGGATGTGCAAAAACACTTCTCATGGGTGATAACGTTTAACAAATTTTACCCCAAGCCCTGAAGACTGAAGAACATCAGTGAGGCTAACAGAAAGCAGGAGACCAAGGATAAAATCATCAAGGTCTGGGGACTAAGGCTGCAAGATCTCAGCAAGAGCTGTAATCCCAGGGTCCCCAGTAGGCTAAGAGGCTCCTTCACTGAAGTTTCCACCCAACTTGTCTTTCAAAAGGATAATTAAAAACACCATGCTAAAAGCTGACCTGGGTTTAAAAAGGCCAGATCCAGCACGGTCGTTCTTTTGTTCAACACTGCTATCACACAGCACATGCTGGGTTACCAAAGGGATCAGACTATGTCCCATCTGTTTAATGCCTTCATTAACAACCTAGGAGGAGGAGGTAGCAGCATGTTAGTGGAATGTGTGGTTTATAAGAAACCAAGATGAGCTACGCATACTGGAGAGGATGAAAAAATACTGCAGTCGGGCCTAAGAGATTAACAAGGCTGAGAAAAGATCAAAGAAGATATAACTTGATGTACATCATGGAAATAACAATCTTAAGCATATGTGCTTGTTAAAGGAGGTTCTACAAAAAAATTAGTACAGGGGGAAAAGCTGTAGAAGACATGCATTTGCAGTTAAATAGTCCATGCAGCTTAGACCTACAGAAGCCAGTGTAGAGCCCTGAGTTAATGCTTTTCCTGACTACGTGCCCCTGTTAAAATTTTATCTCAGAAACTGTCTACAGTGTGTGTAGTACCATATAAAAAATATACTGGAAAATGTCTTACTTTCCGACCAAAATCAGGGCAAACACATCCAAAGAATTTGAGAATTGGCTTCTTCACACTTTTACAAATGTATACGTGTAGTTCGGAGAAGAAACCACGAAACGATGGAAATATTCAGTGCTGGCAGTCTGTATTCAAGAGAATAGCTAAATATTTACCAGGGAGAGGAGAGGCACTAATCTAACCTGCCCATTACCACTGCCCATTGAGATACGCACTTCAAGACACTACCACTGCACAATCCCTTCATTATCAATACAACTTTCTTTGAGGACGGCCTAAAGGATATCTAAGAAGCATAATGGCAAGAAATAAAGGGGAGATTGTGATAAAAAACAGGGGAAGGAACTTCATGAAAAGGCTTTAATATCCAAATGTGTCTTTCCTTTAATAGGCTTTAGTAGGTTGAAGGTGGAACATGTTAAAAATTAAAACTGTAATTATAAAATTATGAAGCAAAAGTAATTATTGGAGATAAAATATTCTGTCAAGGATTCTACCTTCAAAAATAGTAATTGCCATGACATTGATTTTATACCAATAATCTTTATGGATGTTTCTAAAAAAGCTTTCATGCCAAAATGGGCAACATTCATGGTTACTTTGAAGTTCATGAAGTGGATTACCTCAACCTAATGTGCTGGCAGAAATTATTCACCCAGCTTTGCCCAACAGTACCATACATAACCTATCGTGCTCTATAAGAACCTAGAATACTGTGGTATAAATCAAAGAACTACTACCTGTGCCAACTGTGGGAGCGGTGAGCTGACACATGAAGTACAGATTGAGGCTATTTTTATTGTGCAACTTTGAAATGAGAAGCAGTACGAAAATGTGCCTTGTAATACTAAGCTTTCCCACCTCTACCCTATATTTTTCCACATGCAGTATTTATTAGTCATCTAGGAGAACAACATAAACTTCACATTGATCAAACTGACACATGACATATTATGGTAGGTCAGATGATTACATCAGGGATGTTTATTGTCAGTATGTTCTGGCAAGCTTAGGCAAATCCAAGGTATACATGGTACAAAATTAAAATTCTGTAGATCAAAGCTCCGCTAACCCATTTCATCAGACAAAAAAACACCTTCTTTCCTTTCTTCCAACTTCATAACTGCCCTCCCTACACAAGCTTTTTTAAAATGTTTCATTCTGTACATCAAAAAATCTTGCCAGAATAATACTGGTTTGAGAATACTGGTCTGAGCAATAGCTCAGCAAATAGCTATATTAGATAGAAGTCTATTACAAGGTTTCTATCTCTATATAACAGCATAACTATGAATTAGCAAACTGTGCTTCAAAGTAATCATGATAAATTTTAACCCCTGTGCAGGGGGCAAACCGAAGAGCTTTGCAGACAGGTTTTCACCATAGACTTAAACTATGTGATGGATTAATACCCCTATTTCTAACATGAGATTGCATAGATCTGAGGTTAAAACACATTGCCACAGACAGATTCCACCCTCACCCACTTAACCAATGTTCCCCAAGTTGTTTTTATATTTGTCAATCAGAGATTACTAGCAATCTCACCAAAGCAATATCTATAAGAGAAGAAATGGAAGAGCTCAGCCATATTAATTTGCCTTTCAAAAAGCATGGCTTCATGCATAGGTATTACTGCAGTCACTGAAAATTCGTGCTTAGATCAAAATATATTTTTAAGTGTCTTGAAATTGGAAACTGAGAGAAAGTTCAGAGAAAAACAGTTATAAAGACAGAAAATGATGGAAAAAATATCACAGATAAAATACCTTCCTGGAATTATTATTCATGCAGCAAGAGGTAGGAGAGAAAAAAAAATAGAGGGAGGGATGACATCTGAGTGTGAAGGCAGAAGGGAGGAGAAAAGACTGTTTTTTGTAGTCATAAATTGTTCACACCAAGCATTACAGTAAGGTTTAAAGATGTTCAGGGTGAGCAATTAGGCAATGGAAGAAACTAACCAGGGAGGGCAGGGAGGTGGCTGAGTCAAGTACAGGAGAGGTTTGTAAAGATAGGGTAGATTAAATCCTAATGGGGATTAGCAAAAGGGAAGATACAGTGCTTTGAACCTAAAATCTTCTCCAATCCTATCATTTATGCTGCTATGATTCATCCCAAGAACAACATTTTGGACTCTCATGAATTACTGGCTGAGTTTCCTGGATACTATTGTACATTAGTCTACTCTGAGGCATGCATAAAACTTGGTCAAAGTTGGCTTTGAAGTGTTTAATCTACAGTGTTCAACACTTCCCAGTCTCTTTTTCATAGAATGACTCAGAAACAGGGCCGTTAGAGCAAGAGAACAAAAAGTTATTTTGAGTTCAGATTAAGTTAGAGAAGGGAGGTACCGGTTTCTTCAGCTCTTCCCACCTAAAAGAGGAAAAAACACCCCACCTCATGGCCTGATGGTTAATATTGCTATTTCCAGACCAGATATAAAACAGCCTTAGAACAAACTACACCTTTAAATTGCATTTCATAAAATTTTGGATCAAGAACCGAATGTTCTGAATGACCAAAGCCATTAACCCCTTTTGCTCTTTTTGTTCACATAAGAACACAGATTTTTTTCCCCAGCATCTTAAAGTCACATTTTTGAAAATCTTGACAATTTTTTTAAGAATTCCATCCCTTCATTTTTTATTATTTCCATAATCACTATAGACTGCTAGAGAGGTTAATTTAGATTTTCTACTTTAACATATAATATCTATTCCATGGGAGCTTGGGAGTGCAAAAGCGATTAGTGTAAAATCACTGATTCTAATCCAATGCTGAAGATGGATCCGTATGATGATCAACCTATAAGCTGTTTGTGGTGTAGCAGAGAGAACATTGCAAGTCCTTCTTCAACCTCCTGTGAGTCACTGATCACTGTGATGAACGCATACGTAATTTATACATGATCACACTGTTGTATCTGACGGGGGAGCGATGGTAGATGAATGAATGGAAACATGGACTGACTCATTAAGAACTGCGTAGCTCAAATGACTTTTGGTTTTGGTTTAGGAAGTAGTGTGACTGCGAGTAAGGAGTTCACTCGGTCAACATCTGTGTCCTGTGGGCCCATATGCATCACAAGATGGATAAAGTAATCAGCAGTTTCCATCACTCATTCATTTAAATATAATTTAAATATACCCTCTGCTAACTGCAGCTAACACAAAACATCCAACCAAGACATCATCAGTTCAATTTCCAAAGAACTAGCACTCACGCCACAACAGAGGAGCATTAAAAGTAGGCAATGAAGGAACAGCTCCTACCTTGGGAGCAGCAAGGTTGCACCTTCTGATGACCAGGCACAGGTCAAAAATAATGACCCTGCCCAGGTAAAGCTTAGTGAGAGCGAGATTTATATATATCACGATGGAGATAAGAAAATGAAGAATGAGACACTCAATAGCTTGAAGCCATTTATAACTCTATAAATAGCAGCCAAATAACAATATTCTAACATCCATTTAGGAATCAAAAAAAATCATCCGAGGAAGATTATGGAGTAAAGTCTGAACACGTTTGCAGGATAACAAGCAGTTTAAAAAATGTTCACCATACTATAGCCCCAATTTACCTATAGCCTAATGTTAGTCTGGCAAACAGACTAGCTTTTCGTACTATGTTGAAATGAAAGAGTAAGTCATTTCTGTGGAGAATGCATTTTCAGCTGGGCCAAAATTTTGGCTGAAAGATGTCCATTTTCTGCAAGTACCGACGTCATCACAATCAGCTGTTAAATCCTGGACCTTTTTCTATGCTTTCTAAATTTTCGAGAAATATTTTTTAACTTAAACATTATATTTGGAAAAAGTCATTTCTGCAACATAAGATGCTTAAAAAAACAGCAGATGCTCTACTGTCATCAGAACAGTTATTTCTTGACAGGGAATGATTCCTGAAAATGAGTTTGCCTTTCAATGGCCCAAACCCCCTTCTTTCTAATTGAGTATAAGCATTTTTAGTGATGAAATTTAATTCAGAGACATATAAGGCAAATACACATAATACAAATCTTAAAAGTAGCTAATTATGGCCACAGGAATGGCTATACTTCAATTCGTTCATCATCAGATCTATATCTTACCATTCGCAACTCAAAATCCTACTAAGCCTTTCAGATATGTTGGCTCTTTAATAATCAGCTATTATAAAAAATACACGTGGCTTAGGTACATTTAGATCAGACAGATATATTAAAAACATGGTGTTTTTAGCATCAGTGTAATTCTTTCACCTTGGGAGAACTAACACCACAGCAGTTGGTCTTCTGTCTGCTTGTTTTGTTGTGCTGTTCTGTTGACTTCCCAAGCCAAGAATCAAATGGGGACCGGACCATTAACAATTCTTTTACCCTCCCAGACAAGCGATCACAGTGACAGGCAAAACTCCTGGGGTAAGTTACCTTTAGGGCAAGATTTACCACTCATTTCATATGAATGGTAGTGAATCCTCTTCCTGGAGACAGCCACCCAGTGTTTGCCTGCAGGAAGAGCTAACATCCTTCATGGATATGATACACACACACTCTGCAGGCACTTCACTCCTGTGGACTCACAGCAGCTCATAACTGACATTTGAAG